AAACAGAATAACCATAAGCAATAGTAGAATTATACAAAGAGCCATGTTCAAAAGATGTCACAGAATTTTTCAGCTTGGGACTCAAGACTGAACTACTAGAAACTAAGTTTACATGGACAGGTTTCGTCTTAGTTTTAGAGTACAAAATGGAGCTGGATCTAGGACCAGGTTAATTCTCAAAAACTTTCTTCTTGCCAGCAGCTATTTCCTTTCTTTTCATCTCCCACTCTTTCTTCTCTTCTCCTCTTCTTTTCACTTCTTGTCCTGTGACAACAGGAGAAGAGTGATGAGTGGCAGATTTTTCAGAAGATTTAGTTTTATCAGAAGAGGTTTGAGCAGTTTTTAAGACAGAATGATATTTTTCACTCAATTCATCAAATTTGCTTAATAGTTCTTGCCAATTGCTTTCAGGATTTTTCTTTTCAGTTTCAAAACGCTCTCTCTCATTGTCAAGGGTTTTCTGAAGATCTGCATATTTTTGGACCAAAGGAGAGATGCATTTGTCTTGACCGGACTTAAAAATTCCAGTTTTGGGAGTGGGACCCATTGGACTTTCGAAGTAAGGAACCCCTTTTGGACCCTCGTTGTAGATTACCTTTTCTTTAGAAAGAGCTTTCTCAACCAGAGGAGTATAGTCAAGAGAGGTTTCAATTTTAGGATTACTCCTTTTCTCTTCTTCTTCTTTAGTGGTTTCTTCTTCACTCCCAAATTTCATTTTCTTATCAATGTCTAGAGTTAAGTAAGTTGCATCATACAACTGGAGGCAGTCAACTTTCTTTAAATGACGCGGGTTCGGCAGTCCAAGACCAGCTTTTGGGTTGTAATGTTGAACGTCGCTTATACGATTTAGAAAAACTGTGTGTTCGGTTTGACCTCTTCTGACACATACATCCTCAAGTTCCTTTACTTTGCTTAAAAGGCTGCTTCTTTTATTTCTTAAAAATTCACAGTCAGCTTTAGCTGTGTTTTTCTCAACTTCACTGTCTTGCAGTTTCTTAGTCAGTTCAGCTATTTTAAGTTCAAAGCTCTCAAAGTCTGAGGACACCCTTTTGATTTGATCTTTGGCATTTTCAAGTTGAACGCTTAAGGAAGATTTTTGGTCAAGGTTCTGTTTCAGTACCCTGTAATTATTCTCTAATCTCTCCTGCAGTTCTTTAATGAGGTGGTCCTTATTGTGTAAGGACTGAGTTTGTATAGTGTGAGAGTGATTAGAGGTACTTACAGTGCTTGTAGAGCATTCACTTCCGGGGATCGCAGCATCACCCTTTTTCTCTTCTTCATCCTCCAGCCTTGCCATCAAAGCGAAGTTCTCTTCCTCTTCTTCTTCTTCTTCAGAATCATCTTCCGCCCACTGGACCAGCTCAGCATGTTTGCCAGAGGCTTCTACTTCCTCCTGTTGTGCTAAGAAGAGCTTTTGTTTATTCATTAGAATCTTTTGTTTGTAGAAGTTTGCATCTCTCTTCTTTGGGAGCCGACAGTCTTTGCTGATATGTCCAGGCTTCCCGCAGTTATAGCACACAGGGGCATTAGCAGTTGATGTAGCCTTCCTGGCTGAGCTTTGGTCCTGGTTCTTTTGTTTGTAGTTGGAATAAGAGATTCGCAGCTTATTTGAAGAGCTGTTCATCTTGGCAAACTTCTTGGCCAGCAGAGCCATCTTCTTCTGGAGATCTGCAAGCTCAGCTTCAAGATCAGTTCCTTCTTCATCACTCTCATCTTCATCAGATTCAACCTCCACTACTTTCTTCTTCTTCTGCAGAGGTTTCGCCATTCTTTTGGGCTGAGCTTCCATTAGTAGAGCTAGAGGATTTGGGTTTGATTGTTCCTCAGTGCATACAACGTCATTGACGAACTCCTTTAGCAGCTCATTCAAGGTGAAGAGATCAATTTCATCCATGTCAATGCGTTGTCTCAAGTCCTTTACTGTTTTACTCCAAGATGGGTGCAGACTAGACAAAAATCTAGTATTCAGTTCCAGGTTGGTTCTGAATATTTTGATTTTCCTCATTTCATTCATCAGCTTCACAAGCCTGGCATGAGTCTCGTGAAGAGGTTCTCCAGGAGCAGCTTTGAACGAGTCATAAGCCATCAAAATAGCAGATTTCTTGGTTTTTAGGCTTATGCTCGTGCCTTGGAGTAATTTTTCAATCTCGTCCCACATTTCTTTTGCAGTTTGCATACTGTCAATCATCACGTACACTTCATTTGGGATGGCTTGGAGAAGGTATGTTTTGGCCATGAGGTCTCCTCTCAGCCTTAGCTTGTCTGCTTCAGTGTATTCAGAAGGCCTCTTTCGTCTTGTTTCCGGAGGAATGGGTGGATTATTTGTTGAGTCCCCTCCTACGTCAATCATTAGTACAGCTGGTCCTTCCAGGAGTGATTCCAGCATTGCGTCGGAGTTTTCTTTGTGTTCTAGGAAATTCAAGAAACGAGTTCTCCACATTTGGTACTCCCCTTTCCTCAGAGATGGAGGAGTACTGCTGTTTCCTTGCGCATTGGATTCAGAAGCCATTCCTGTTGCTGTAGAAAACTGACCGTTCGAGAAATAAGATCAGAAAATTTACTAAGTCAAGAACTCGAGTTCCTGAGTGTTCAAAGCCTAAACTCGAGGTCTGGGGAACTCGAGGTGAGAGTTCGAGTTTATGAACTCGAGGTCAAGAGTTCGAGTTTCCAAGAACTCGAGGTGTAAACTCGCAGGGTCAAAACTCGTGGTCAGACTGCGAGTTTGCAGGCTGCGAGTTTGTAGACTGCGAGTTGTTGACCGCGAGTTGTAGGCTGCGAGTTCTTGAGCTCGAGTTTGCAGGCTGCGAGTTTCTCAACTCGAGTTTACAGGCTGCGAGTTTATGCAATAACACCTTGGGCTGCGAATTCCTGAAAAAATAAAACTTCAGATTTTCAGAAAAACAAATATGGTAGGTTGTAGCCCTTGTAGTAGAGATCCTTTTACCCAAGTTTCAGGTCAAAAAGCTGCACAGAGCTTAGAGAAATGAGGGGTGCGAGTTCATGGGTGCGAGTTTACTTCTGAAGAAAATATGCAGAAACGAAAAAGGAAGATATACTGCTTGATCGTCTTTGAAACGCGATTCTAACAGTATAACTTTTACAGTATTTGGTGCAGAAATAAGATTACAGATGATAAACTCGCTATTCTACAAAAACAGAGTCTTTCGCAGATAGTTCTTCTGATCAGCTCTCGATCGGCTCTGATACCAATTGATAGTCCCTGTTTTCTATAACAACAGTATAATATGGCATACAGATGAAAGATTAACAACAAAGATGAACACAGAAAGATCAAGTGTAAACCTTCTCTGATATACCGTGAACCTTACGTACAGGAATGATAAGCGCTAAGGCTATTTTGAGCAGATACGAAAGTTAACCCCAAACCTAAGTCCTCCTCCCTCTTTTATAGGCGAGGCTCAGGTATGCGTACAAAGGCTTCTTGCCTGAGTATGGGCCTAACACTTGGCCCATATTGTATACTATTCTAACAGATATATTTAATCAGTACAGAATAGAAATAGCAAACATCTAACTTATTACAGACAAGACAGACAAACTTGATTCACAATAAATAGTCTTCAACACTACCACCACTATTTGTATTTCGAGAAATTATGTCTAAAAAATAACAATTGAGCTTTAATTTTGTAACTCATTCATTCTCTATATACTGAATTATTGTAAAAAGAAGTTTAAAATAGTATAGCTAAAAAGCTACAAAATGGAAAAAAGTTTAAAAGTGAATCTTAAGGTTGACTACTAAACTAAATTTGTTATTACTAGTTAACTTTATACTACTGAAAATAAATAGTATATTCAAGTATACTACTGAAAATGGATACTATATCATCTATTATTGACAAAACAAATTGTTATAGTAGCATAACAAGAGTAACAATTAACTTCAAACTATTCACAGAAAAATAAGTACAATTTACAATTTAAATATCTAAAATAGATCATAATCAACGTAAAGGGTCTCAGGCTAGAGCAACTTAAAAGATTTTCATTTTGGCTTTTCCAGCGTACTTCCTTAGCAGAGCTTCTATAGCAATCGACATATTGAAATGGAAAATATGAAAACAAAAAACATCATACGTCAAACCAACCTTAATGAATGAGAAACGGGCAAAAGTAACAATAGAGTATGAATAAAGCTTTCACACCGTTTTTTAGAGAGAAAAAACTCGCGAACTGAAGACCTAACCAGTTCATCGAACTAAACACAAGCTTATCAAGAGAAATATACCTGTGATGGGAAGATAGAATGGCGCTCAATATCTCCCTAAAAGAATTCCGAATAGAAGGGATTGATAATCAAAGTGGAGATAATCAAAGATGGAAGTATGGAACTAGAGAAGTAGATAAAGTAAAAATGAAAGTGTAGAAGATAATTAGTATAAAGAGTTACCTTGTGATTTTTGGCTTTTGGGAATTGGGATATCCATGTCTCCCAGACAAATGATACGAAGTAACGAAGGTATAGAGAATAGGAGAGACTATTCATGTCTTAGATGCACAAAACTTCAATGCCCAGTTCAATATTCAAGAGTCTAGCTTTCTCGACTCTTCATCTTCCGTGACCTAAGCGGTCAATTGATAGTTTGATACGGAGAGTTGGAGGCGGCCAGACGGGAGACACGGAGTATACTAAATTAATTAATAAATAATTTGCTCCAGCCCGCGGGTCGGCCCGTAACCCGTACGGGCTGGCCCGCTAAAACCCGCAACCCGTTAGGGTCAGCCCGCAAAACCCGCGAAATAAATGGGTCCAAATATTATAACCCTAACCCGTCAGTAAACAGGTTTAAATGGATCGGCCCGCGGATTGTGACCCGTTTTGACAGCTCTACGCACATGTATAAAGTCTACCTCCACTTTGTTGACTGAGTCACCGTGATTAACCTTTTTGACCAAATTTGTTGGGTGCAATGATTCTCCTCGGAGAATCCCATTCCCACTCAGATATAACCCACCAATCTCTAGGATTCGTGTTTATCTTTACGTTGGACTAAAAACTAACGGCCATAACCTAAGCCCTGCAATTTTGCTGGATAAATTTATACTTCATCTATTCCCCACCCAGTCGCAACCCTCCATGGCCGCCGCCGCTGCGCCTGTTCTACCCACGTATTCGCCCGCTCGTGAAGATCCCTCTAAGCCGTTCTACAAGAATCCACGTTTAAAGGCATTCTCCTTCTTGCAGAAACCCCTTTTAAAACTCTGTTCCGCCACCTTCAAATCCATAGTCACGGCGGCGACACAAAACCCCATCTCCGACGTCATCTCAAACAAAGAATCTGACCGTGAAAGCAATCGATTCGCTTCTTATTTCACCTATGATGATGGCGACAACGAGCATCTCCGCGAAGAGTGCGGCGTCGTGGGAATCTACGGCGACCCTGAAGCATCCCGCCTCTGTTATTTAGCCCTTCACGCGCTCCAACACCGCGGTCAGGAAGGCGCCGGGATAGTAGCCGTCCACGACCAGGTTCTCCAGCACTTCACAGGCGTCGGGTTGGTCTCAGATGTCTTCAGCGAGTCAAAACTCGACAAGCTTCCCGGCGAATTAGCCATCGGACATGTGAGGTACTCCACAGCAGGCTCCTCAATGCTAAAAAACGTACAACCTTTCGTCGCGAGCTATAGATTTGGGTCAGTCGGAGTTGCCCACAATGGGAATTTGGTCAATTACCAATCTCTTCGGGCCGAGCTCGAAGAAAGCGGGTCAATATTCAACACCACATCTGACACAGAGGTGATTCTTCACCTCATTGCGATATCAAAGCAAAGACCTTTTATTCTAAGGATCGTCGAGGCATGCGAGAAGATTAAAGGGGCTTATTCTCTGGTGTTTGTGACTGAGGATAAGCTGGTAGCTGTTAGAGATCCTTATGGATTTAGGCCATTAGTGATGGGTAGAAGGAAGAATGGTGCTTGTGTTTTTGCCTCAGAGACTTGTGCTTTAGACTTGATAGAGGCCACTTATGAAAGGGAGGTTTATCCGGGTGAAGTCATAATGGTTGACAAAGAAGGAGTTCAATCCCTTTGCTTGATGACTCATCCCCAGCCCAAATCTTGCATCTTTGAACATATTTACTTTGCACTACCTAACTCTGTCGTTTTCGGTAGGTCTGTGTATGAATCTAGAAGCAGGTTTGGGGAGATTCTAGCTACAGTGGCCCCTGTTGAGTGTGATGTGGTTATAGCCGTTCCTGATTCCGGGGTAGTCGCTGCACTAGGCTATGCCAAAAAAGCCGGAGTGCCCTTTCAACAAGGGCTCATAAGGTCACATTATGTGGGGAGGACCTTCATAGAGCCTTCTCAAAAGATTAGAGATTTTGGTGTGAAACTCAAACTAGCCACTGTGAAGGCAGTCTTGGAAGGCAAAAGGGTTGTGGTGGTTGATGATTCGATTGTGAGGGGGACCACTTCTTCGAAGATCGTGAGGTTGTTGAAGGAGGCGGGTGCAAAGGAGGTGCACATGAGGGTCGCAAGTCCTCCAATTATAGCTTCTTGTTATTATGGTGTGGACACACCTAGTGAGGATGAGTTGATTTCCAATAAGATGTCTGTTGAACGGATTAGGGAGTTTATTGGTTCAGATTCACTTGCTTTTCTTCCAATCGATAGTCTAAAAGAGTTCTTGGGGGAGGAGAGTGGGAGTTTTTGTTATGCTTGCTTTTCCGGGAAATATCCAGTGGATCCGATGGGGAGGGTGAAAAAGGTTGGGGACTCTATGGACGATGGGTTGACTGGGAACAAGGAGGAAGTAGAAGTAACAGTCTAAACGCGAGGGAAGAATATGAGAAGCAAATCATGTTCAAGTCTTAGAGTTGTTTTGTGTTTGGATTTGAATTGGTAGTATTACATTCTGTTGTTAGATTTTATTGATCAGAAGAGTGAGGAGATCCCCAAGGGTGCAATTTTGGATGTTACTAACTTACAACTTACTCCCCCTTATATGTTATTGTTTTCCCTTTTTCAGTGTGTGAATGTGGGTTGCCACTACCTACAGATCAAGAGATGTTTTAACTTTTCATCAGTATGAATCAAAGTTGACCTCAACTTTTACAAGTGAGTTGCAGTTGTGATAACTGATAAGTGAATTATTGAGTGGAGAAGTGTATATTAAGGATATTGATCCGGCCTATAACCCCATAAGAACATCTGCATTTCGTATTTTACTAGAAGAGCATACCCAGATTGAGGGTACCGTGACCTCTTTTAGGTCAAGGAAAAGGCCTAACAAATAGGGGGGCATAAATAAGCCTAAATTTGCCAATAATGATAAAACCATCACATGACAAATGCTTCTCTCTCATTCTCAGTCTAAGGTTCTCATTACAATCTGGAATTATTTCCTATGCTTTATTTTATTCACAAATTTAGTATGAAGTGGGTTGCCACTTTTTTAGAGGTGCGAATGTTAAATTGTTAATCTATAACATCTAGTGTGTTCCGAAACAACAGTTATGTGTTTTGTGACGATGAACTGTCTGCTACTAATTCAACCTAGAGTTTGGCCTTCCTTAAAAAACAATGTTTTTATGTTGAACAATCTTTGATCAGCCTCAGAACAAACAGTTGAGCAGGTCATAAAATTGGAGTTTTTGTAATTTGGTGAGTATGAACTTTTCCACTTTTAGTCATACGATTATCGTGCAAAAGACACTATTGTTACTCGTATTTGAAATTTTCCATATTTAATCCTTCGGGTTTCAGAAAAGCGACTCTTTTGATCTTTCAATTATTATCATTGTTACAATTTTAGTTCACTTATTGTGACAAAATCATAATGAAAAGATTAATGGTGTCAATTTGACAATATTTAGATGACTAAATGTGGGAAGTTTTGAAGTTGAGAAATAAAACTAAAAGTTTCTCTCACATGAAAATGAAAAAATAAAATTGAATAGCAAAAGTGTCACTTAGACAATAGTCAAGGGAGTTCAAATGGCAAAAACTCTAATTATATATCCATCCAGAGATAAGAAACATTACAGCAAAAAGATTTACTGAGAGAACTAGATTAAAAACCTTAAACTTGAATTTACCCAAAAAAAAACAAGAACCGAGAAGCCAAGAATTTCCGGAGGATCAGAAGCCAATCAAAACAATGTCATGTATGATGTATCCACTTTGAGGACAGCATGAAAAAGAATGGAAATATTGGGGTTGATAAAAGATTTGATTGCATGAAGGCTGGTGTAGACAATCAAAGCAATAGCCACAAAGTTGCTCTTCCCCTATTTCCAACATATTCCCAATTTGCCATCATTAGCACAACCAGACAAAATCAATGCCTCCAAAGAATGAGAGTTTGTATGGGATGATTCAAGCAAGCCAACCCTGTGCTTTCTAAAAACAAGGACAAACGTGTATTTTAAGAACTAAAAGCATTATATTCATTTCCTCGTCTGACATTTCTTTTTAAAGTAAAGCTACAACTCGCTTCAAAAAAATACTTATTCTGAAACAATAAGTACGCCAAAATGCACCCCCAGAGCCTCTAAAAACAAGAAAAGGCCACTGAAAATCACAACATTTGCCCAAACATTTGAGTTCACCTTCAACCGCAAATATCTGATTCCATGATACAAATCACCACTACATTTGCCAAAACATCTGAGTTCACCTTCAAGCAAAATGTCTCATTCCATGATACAAATCACTACATTTGCCAAAACATCTGAGTTCACCTTCAACCAAATGTCTCATCTCATGATACATAAGTTTCAAGTAAACAATATAATTATATATATATATACTACCCTACTAATAAAAAAGCCACTTTATATAAGTAACTGAAATTCAGCAGAGCATTCAAATAGTGTACAAGTAAAGGGTGGTGGTGCCTTGGCATTTTTCCTGGAAAGACAGAACTAATGAATGAATTGAGGAGACTGAAACATGAAAAGCCTATTGATTTGAGTCATGCTTTGCTGATGCATTGTTGTTGTGCTGCTGAGCTTGTTGCTGAGAAGATTGTTGTTGCTGTTGGTGCAATTGATGCATGTTGATCCGAGCAGCAGAGTGGGACTGAAACATTTGGGTGTTCAATGAAAGCTGTTGGAACTTGGTATGCTCTCCGTTCAGATCTGCCGTTGCAATCTTCAAGCGTTGTACTTCAGCAGTCAATGCTTCATTCAAGGCTGTTATAATGTTTATGATATGAAATTAGTATAGCATCACATAATTAGGCTGCATTGTCCATTCAACCCTACTACCAACTCTCAATTACACTCCCAACGTGCTTCTCATTAAAAAAATACTAAAACATCAAACTTTTGGTCATATTTCAAATTCAGCAACAGGCAATCAGGCATCCAAAGAAGAAATGATAAATAAATCCAATAAAAGGCCAAACTAATTGTGCTTAAACTATTCTCCGTCAAAATGGATTAAAGCAACAAGTTATTATTGATCTTGTTTCGGCAGAGAGAGTATGCAGAACTAGTATTAAATTGCTCCTGGAGTAAATACTCTTGCCTGCAAATCTGGAACATTGTTTTAAATGTTCAGTAAAACAAGTGTTACTAGAAAATTAATAGTTCTGATAAGTTCAGCATTATGTTCAGTATAATGCTTAACCCGCAAAACCCAGGAATAACAGACCTCATTTAGAAAGATGACTTCCCCTATTGAGGAGGAACTTTTGAACGTTTAAAAGAAACAATGAATCAGGAGAAGAAGAAGAGGAGCCGCATCTTAGCAAGAATCTGTCGAGCAAACTGTAGAAAAACTAAGGAAGAAAACGGCCAGACTTGAAGACCATTTTTCAAGGCATTTTAGACTCTCTCACTCTCAATGTCTCTCTAATTGACAATCCCATGATTGAATGAGGAAAATTGTGGATTCCCCCACTTCAGCAATTTGCTGAAAGGAAACGGATCTTAAAATCACGTGATTCCACAAATCTTGATTGTGATATTAACCACTCGGAGGGAGTATTATGCTAAGATATCATTAAAAATTTGACTTCCTGTTGTTTCAATGTTTTCTCCCTCAGAGAAAATTGTGACATTTGGTATCAAGAGATTCTACGGTGTCATTGAAATATTTTATTATTTCACTAACTTGATATAACCTTTTGACATTTTATGTAACATATAATTATATCCCCAGACATATTCCTCATGTGGAAAAGGAAAATAGCGAGTCTTTGGCCTAATTTTGGATGGACTAATTTTGTTAGTCCATCCAAAACTACATAATTTATCCTTTTTATATATCATTGAACCTTTTTAATGATGTGGATCTCACCTTTTGTAGTTTCTTCTACTTATAAAGGTAAAACTGAATGAAGAACATCTTTATTTTCTTGCAAATATCGTACATTATGTGACAGAAGTAAATAGAATGTGTGTGGGTCAACGTGATAAAGAGAAAAATGAATAAACTAATTAGAGATAGGGATCCCCATTATAGTTGAATAATGGAATAGGATGTTCTGGTGCAGCAAATAGTGCCAAGGTTGGAAAAAAGGCACCACCAGTTGAGAGGGAATTACCCTATGATGGGTGATATCCAGTTAGAGATAGTCTAACTGTAATGTATTAGGTATCCTACATTCCTATTCGATTCAACCACAAAAAGTAAGCAAATAAGCACACATCATGTAAAAGAACTGCATAGCAAAGTAAAACAACAAAACAACAGAGTTATTTTGTTAATTTGGTTTAATTCCACATAAGTTCCATTGGAGACCATCAATGATTAAATCTGACTCAGCATAAGTTCAAGAATCTTTATTCAGGATTCCTGAAACAATTTTCAAAAGGAGTTCATCATGTTAAATTGTTGATCCAAGCAGAAGAAGAAGACAATCATACCATCACGGAGTTGAGCTTGTTGTTCCATTGCTTGCAAACGAAACTTTAACTCATTGTTTTGGCTTGTTAGCCCGGCAGAGTCTCTCTGGGTGACAAAAAAAGGTGATTTTAGTCGCACAAAAGTTGAATGTCTAACACAGTTAATCATTATATTAGTAATTATAATATTATTGTAATAATAATAACAAGGACAACGCTTAAATCAATGCAATATGAGCACCTGCAGAAGAGTTAGTTGAGCAGACAAAGTTGTCGCTTCAGTCTGCAACGTTTGCACCTTATGTTCCAACTCTGCAATGTATCTCATCTTGCGCTCCTTTGAACGGGCAGCAGATTGACGGTTTGCTAAAATTCTGGAACAAGATTATTTAGAAGACTATGATCTGCATAATTGGAAGACAAATAATAGACAAAAAAATCGGTTTTAATCTTTACCTTTTGGCACGTTTTGGATCTGTTAAAGCAATCTCAGCCAGTTTCTCATTGGCCATGATCTTTTTAAGTTCAGCACCACTAAACTCACCATTCCCAAACTCCAAACTAAACGTGTTTGAATTTGAATCTAGAGAATTGGTAGGTGAGAGACTCCCAGGGTGGTTTCCAGGTGATGGGGGTAACTTCGGTGATACATCAGAGAAGTTAAGATTTCCCATAAAGCTATCCATGGAAATGCTCCTATAGTGTCTGGTGGTTGGTGCTATGTCTCCCACTGCATTCCTTTTAACCCCCTCCCTCTTTTCATTTGAAGAAGGGACTCCTGATATGTGCATGCTATTCCCACTTTCATTGACACTGCTTGTAGCTTCGTTATCACTGCTATCAGCACCATTTGTCTTTGACCCACTAGCCCTACTGTCTAAATCCTCGTGGTTTTCACTACCCAGCTTTTCATCACCACCTCCTGAAGAGTTCAATGCATCTATGGTGTCCAAATTCATATAAGCGGAAAACAAATCATCAACAACTTCTCCTTCAGATTTTCTCTCCCCCGTTCCTTCACCGTTGCTCTCACTGCCACTAGTTTCCCGTTTAACCAACTGAATGGGCTTGCCACATGGACTCTCTTTTGATGGCAGTGACCTGTCTAACGGGATCAGCTGTGGAGAAGATTGCATTATATTAGAGAATCCGAAAGGTATGTCACTGTTGGACCTTCTGTGTGCCTTACGAGGAGGAAGACTAAGATTATCTCCTGTTGCACGCAATGAGTTACACTTTGTGAAATGAGAGGGGGGCAATAAT